CGTCTCTAATCGACTTTTTGATTGCCAAGAGCATGGAGGTCTATTTTTTCCCTACTCTTTTTTGTTTTCGACCAATTGGGTGGATGGCATTCCTGGCTGCCTATTCGTAGTAGTGAATAGGGTCGATGGCATTTCTGTGTTGCCTATACGTAGTACGCAACAATTACTTTCGCCCAAAATTTTATCCCATTTTGATTTAAATTTAAAAAAGAAATCAGATTATGGAAATAATTCATTTAGTAGCATATAAAAGCGCTAATATTTGGCTATCTACCTTTTTAGCTGCAGAATGCAAGGAGCTTTGGAAAAGCATCCGACTCAAATATGTGAGAGAACGGAAACAAACAATTGATATGCCCTCTGGGTAAGCAAGCTATAGTGGTGCCTGGATAAACTTTGTTAAGTCAGGATTTTTAGCTCCACACATCCAAATTTGGAAGTATTTGAACAGTAAAGTGACTATATATGTGCAAAAATAAAGGAAAATATTCACAATATCAGCAAATATTTGCCTGCACGTGGACCCCATAGTGACGAGCTGTATCATCGCGGTCAGGATCGTGTAGTAGACAACAGTTGGATTAATCTGTATAATCCGACTTTTTTGGCCCGCTAAAATTGTCACATCAATCTTGAACTTTGCGAAGGAAATCCAATTCAAATATGTTGGTACATCAATGCCTACATCAACAAGGTATCGCATAATCACACTTACAATACAGCGGCGCCGACTTTTGAAAGTCCTCATGGGTGCACGATAATAATAAATGACTTTATAAATTTGTTTATAGGGGGAAAAGGTGGGAGATTTTTTTTTTCCGGATGCCACACCACGCCCAAAAACGTCTATTTTATAGTGTTTCCGTTTGCTAAATTCGGGCAACACTAGAGCAACCCTCGCCCAATTTTTGTATTCGATTTTATCCCCCCGTATGTCTGGATAGGTAGTATTTATCCCCCCCCCCCCCGTATGTCTGGATAGGTAGTATAAATTTTAAACAAACATTTAATAATGTATTTATTTTTATTTATACAGGGTGTCCCCGTTCAACTGGTCAAAAATGCTAGGGTATATAGAGGAACCATAGAGAACTAATGGACACCGATAATCGAAATTGCGCCGTTTCCAAAATACAGGTTATTGAAATTTAAACAACCCCCTTCCATATCATCTGAAGGGCTAATGCTAGGCTATTCAAATTTCTAGGGATTATTGGAACCACCAAAAAAAAATACGGTGTCCTATCTCAAATTAGTTCTTCATGGTTCCTCTATACAGGGTGTCCCACGGTGGATGGCGTATTGCGCATTTTGAAAATTTGGCAACCGGGATAAACGACCATGATCTACATTTTAAAAATATTTTTGACCATGCGGTGTTGCCGCTTATACTCTAAACCAGTGGCAACATCGCTATTTTTAATGGAACACCCTGTATGTGATTGCATATTTGGATTCTACATAAAATTCTGAGCAGATTTCGTGCGTTATACCCTATACCTAAGTTCAACTGTTTTGGAAATATTGACAGTTGAAAATTGACTTTTTGTAACTTTGACAGGCTGTTAAACCTGAACGGTTAATTTTAGAGAAAAACCGATTTCACATTCCTATCTTAGATTTTCATAAACTATCATTTGACACCAACTTTGAATTTAACCGGAGATTAAATTTAATTGGAATTTTTAATCATGGATTAAATTTATAGTTGATGTCAACTGATAGTTTATGAAAATCTAAGATAGGAATGTAAAATCAGTTTTCCTCAATAATTAACCGTGTAGGTTTTACAGCCTGTCAAAGTTGCAAAAAGTCCATTTTCAACTGTCAATATTTCCAAAACAGTTGAACTTAGGTATAGAGTATATCACATGAAATCTGTTCAGAATTTAACGTTAAATCCAAATATGCAATCAAATACAGGGTGTTCCATTTAAAATAGCGATGTTGCCACTGGTTTGTAGTAGAAGCGGCAACACCGCATAAACAAAAATATTTTTAAAGTATAGATTATGGTCGTTTATTCCAAATTTTCAAAATCGTCCGCTTTTTAGTTTTCCATTAACGTCTAATACGCCATCCACCGTGGGACACCCGTATACCCTAGCATTTTCGACCAGTTGAACGGGGACACCCTGTATACACACAGTATCCCATTTTGGTTGTATAGGGTATTTGATTAAATTTGGACCCATACCTACAGCCTTTACTGTTAAAGTTAGAAAAAAAATTTAAATACAAAACTTGACAGTTTTTTTTTTCTATATTTTCTTTGAACGGTATCAGAAAAAACAAAATCGCATCGGAAAATGGAGAAACGTAGACAGCTTCAACTTTTTTTAATGGAACACCCTGTATATTTTGCGATAAAATGAAAGATCCTTTCTTCCTGATTCTAATATTCCAAATATATATTTATTGATCACATTTGAGTGAGCCGTTTTTGACATATTTTAGCTTAAATTATAAATAATTTGCAAAGAAATTTCAAAGGATGTCAGGACATTTAAATCTTTATAAAATTTCTTTGAATTTTATTTATAATATAAGCTAAGATATATCAAAATCAGCTCACCCAAATCCAAATGTAATCAATATATATATATTTGGAATCAGGAAGAGAAGATCTTTAATTTTATCGCATAATATACAGGGTGTCCCATTAAAAAAAGTCGAGGTTGTCTATGCTTCTCCATTTTTATATGCAATTTTGTTTTTTTCTGATACCGTTAAAAGAAAAGATAGGAAAAAACTGTCAAGTTTTGTATTTAATTTTTTTTCTTCTTTTATTTCTATCTCAAATAGTAAAGGCTGTAGGTATGGGTCCAAATATAATCAAATACCCTGTACATACATAAGGGACATCTGAGTTGCTATTGGAGTTAAAAGGATACGGTTTTCCCGAACGTTGGCTACATCGCCCTTTCCGTTTTTTATATACAAGGTGTTTTTGAAAAAGTTGCATTTTGAGACACCTCTTCTATCTCGGTTCTCTCATAAGTGATCGAAAAGGAGACAACGAGTTCTTATAGATCTTTCTACATAGATTCCAGTGGCGAAGTCAGTTTTTCTCTAGAAGTGACAGTTTTTGAATAGTGAACCAAACATACGTTTTCTTCAAATGAGACACCCTGTATTAATGGCTCATTGAATAGCTCTGCTTTTGCTGATTTCAATGGTCTAAAGTTCGATAGGTATATCTATCCATCCTGTTTGTTTTTGTCATAAGGAACAAAGTTTCAGAAAAGGACTTTGCACCTTAAGGAAAATGAGAAAGTGAAACACTGCAACACTGTTTCTCATGACAAAAGCAGATAAAAAATTTTTGCTCGAAAACTGTCAAAGATAAAGCTATCGAATTTTATATCATTGAAATCAGCAAAAGCAAAGCTATTCAATGAGTTTATAATATGTAGGGTGTCTTATTTGAAATAATGTATGTTTGGGTTCATAATTTAAAAACTATCGCTTTTAGAGAAAAACTGATAACGCTTCTGGAATCTACGTAAAAATATCTATAGGAACCCGTTGTCACGTTTCCGATCACTTATGAGAGAGCCGAGATACAAAGGGTGTCCCGGAATGTAACATTTTCAAAAGCACCTTGTATATGAAGAACGAAAAGGGCGAGGACAATTTTGTTGACGGCATCTTACGTTTGACAGAAAAGAAGCTAACGTTCCCAAAAACCCGAGCGAAAACCGCATCCATCTAACTCCAATAGAAACTGAGATATCCCTTATGTAGGTACAACCAAAATGGGACACACTGTACACCCGAAAAAATAGTACAAGTAGATGAAACACAAAATCAAAAAGTAAGTAAGAAGTAAGCCAAATACCAAGTACTTATAGCTGAACCACCGTTGGAATGACCATTATACTCTTGTACTTCCGCAATCCCCACGAGAGCTCTCATGGGTGCTCATGAGAGGTTGCTCATGGGTGCACCTGCCCCGATGCCCCCATGTAGTCGGCGCCAGTGTTACAATACCCGATCGGGAAGCACAATGCTACTCAATAGACATCGCCTCACAAATTCATCTCAAAATTCATTGGACTTAAAAATATATAATAAACTTGGCAACAACGTCGAGTCGATGCCACAATCTGCTTTTAGGAACAAAATAAAGATGTATTTGCTTGACAATTGTTTTTATACCGTTGATGAATATATGGAGGCGGCACCTGTTGTTTGATCTAATGTAGTACTGTATTTCGTTTTTTATTTTAATTTTTATAAATATTTTATTGTACTATTTTACTAGCTTAGTTCGAGATATTTTATGTTATTTTACTACTGTTAATTTTGTTTGTCTCTTTACATTTTCATTAGCAAGAGCTAAATTTTGACTTGCATCAAACATGTAATATGTAACGATGTCAAATATATGCTTCTTTCTTTTTTCTTTCTTTCTTCAAGGGTCTCGATTCCATCAATTTAAGGTGTGCAGAATTCGCAGTCGATGAGACCACTAACACGGTCACTTGGGTCGAGGCAGCGGCGTACGTGAAGATGAGGTACATCGGCCCTCACGAGGCCATCTACAGAATTCTGGGTTTGTCATGTTTTCATATCAGTCATTCTGTTGTCATTCTTCCGGATCATTTGGAAAATTAGCAGTACGAGATTTTCTATGAGGGGCAGGAGGAACAGATCGTCAGGTTAATCGGTTGGTTTCTTTTGAATAAATTTTCGAAAGAGGCGAAAAAGAATTTCTACGTCGGCGTAGTGACGACTTACACGTCGCTTAAGGGAAAATGAGCAGCGAAATCTCGACAGACCAACGCCATAGGTAGACCTGCTGTAGTCTATGCATCGCGCGGGAATGCCAATAGATTCCACCTAGAATGATTTTGGGCAACGTCCCGGGACTAATCTCCTTCAGAGACGCCTAAACGGTGGGAAATGTCAAATATCCTACCTTCCAAGCGGCGTGCGTAGCACTAACGCTGTTGGACGACGACGAGAACGAAGTCGAAAAAGTCCTGCAGTCCGTAATGACTCGCATGGGCTCCCAACATCTAAGGGACGTCTCCGCTTTAATGCTGGTGTACGCTCTTTTGAAGGAACCACGAAAAACGTTCCGTCGGTGGACGGGTAAGATGGCCCGTCACATCAAAAAGATTCCGGATGTTGTCGTTGAGGTCGCCAAAATGATCCTCAACGTGAAAGAACGCGCTCGCGTTTTGCGCTGCGCCAAGTTTTGCGTTCTTTTCGAAAAACTCGAAACGTTCATGAGAGAGTGTTCGTCGCAATTATCAAATAATGATATCAGTAAAGAATGGATCCGAGATTTGACCTTCTCGGACGACGAACACTCCGGGGACGAAGATGACGTCGTGAACGATAGTGACGTAGACGAAGTTATCGGCGGCGATGATTGCGTAGACGTCATTATGGAAAGCGACGCGTCCAAAACCGATCACGATGATAAAATCCGGATTCGTGATTTGAATCACGAGCAAAGGTTATTGACCGCCGTTATGGATTCTGTAAATAGGAATCAGAATAGGGCCTTTGTTTTAATAGAGCCGGGGCGCACAGGTAAAACCGTACTTCTTAACGCCATCTTGGAAGAGATAGACAAGTATGATTACCTGGAGTCAGCTTTCACGCGGATTGTGGCCACTTTGCTAAAAAACGGGGCAACTGCACACACCACGTCTGGGTTGCCATTGAGGAGGAAGCAGGATCCAGAGTCTTCCATGCTAACTTCCAATTTAGTTGCTCAATCTGAGGAGGCGGCGAAAATCGGGGCTGCCAAGCTCGTTGTCATCGATGAAGTTTTCATGCTTACTAAGTGGATGTTGGATTTGATTGAAAATACTTGTAGGTTGTTTAGTCGGGGTCCCAATTCCACTCGTCGTTTCGGGGGCAAAACTGTGATTCTTAACGGAGATCCCAAGCAGTTGTTGCCCGTCGTCAGAGGGTCGTCCGGTCGGATGGCTGCCATCATGGAGTCGATCGTTGCTTCGATTTTGTGGGCGAATTTGGAAAAGGTGACGCTGCACAGAAATATGCGCTTCAGTGACGCAGAAGTTGCATGGACTAACTGGGTTGGACAATTGGGAGCGGGTAAAATTCAGGGGGCAAGTCAACCATCAAGCTACGATCGCGATTTTACATAAAGACATATTAGTCGACTCACCTAAGAAACTGGTTGATTTTTTTTTCGGGGATGTCTTTAAGGCCACACACACAACAATTTCAGTCGTTAGCCGTCAGCCTTGCCAATCGGGCGATCTTGTGCCCTATAAATGTCACAGACGCGGAAATTTTCCAGAAGTTCCCTGATTCTCGTCGAACCGAGCGAACTTATCTCGCTGCCAATCGGTTCGAAGAAGACATTGAGATCAGGTCTTCAAATCCCCATCCTCTCCGACCGAAGATTACTTCTGACATTTTAGAGACATTGGAAATTGCATCGTTGCCACCTCAAGTTATGTCATTGAATATCGGCTCCGTCGTAATGCTCATGGTTAGCTTAAATGTCAGAAGGGGTCTTTGTAATGGTCAACGGATGGTGGTTAGGAAGCTTTTGGAAGACGTCGTAATTTTTAGTATAGCCACTGGTCAATTGTCAGGGACGAAAGTAGCTATTCCTCGCAAAGTTTTTGTTGAAGGAGTTTCACAGGAAACAATTTCCCCTTCGTCTGGCACACGCCATTACTGTAAAGACCTAGAGCTAGAAAACGCGACGATGTCAAAGTACTCGTCGTAGACGGGCCAAAACAGGGAAGACTGTTTAAAGATGGCCGTAAAAACAATCCCGTCTACACACGTAACATCGTGTTTACAGAGTTCGTCGACGATTTAGCAAACGATATCGACAATGATGGCGTAAATTAGTAGTAGAATTTGGTACCGCTGTTGGTTTTGTGTTCCAGGTCTCTTGGTTCCAGTGTCCAGTATATCAGGTATTATGGAAAAGGGTATAGAAATAAGGAAATTAACCGAATTTGACTAATAACTTTTTTTGACACATTCATGATTTTGACTATTACTCGAATGTGAAAATCACCTGATTAAGACAATTCCCGACAATATGACAATATGGCAAATACCTTTTAATTATATATATTGAAAAGTACTATATGTATAAGAAAAAACAAAAAAAATGTATAGAAAAAAGTAGCTTCTGGGCAGAATGCAGGTGCAGGAACAACAAAACTAGCTACTCTGTAGCTGTGTCAACATCCAACCTCCTGCTCAAAAGACTCTAAGAAAATGGGACTAGTAGCTTCAAAGATGAACTGTGATACAACCTGAACTGTGATATATGTACACCCTGCACTAAGATGTGAATAAGTCTGAAAACTGTGATATTATGTAAACCCGTAATTTTTTTTCAACTGTGATTTTTGTATAACTGTGATAAACTATAGAATATGCTTTTGCACCTCCCGATGTTTCGAGTTTATCGATTTTGTGAACCTTATGGGGCCTTACCCATTTAAATGGAAATTGTTTCTCTCATTACAATAACTTAGAATAGTTTTAACTTCCAATTGAAAGAACAAGTACACGGGTTGGGGTCCATTCCGGGCAGAAGGCGAAGGTGCAGAAGGGGCTGTCAAGCGGATGAGACGGCGTACCACGTGAACAGTGCGTGTCCGACCAACGCCTAGATTTCCGACACGACAATGTAGTGCACTGGACCATAAGGGCAATCATGCAGAGTCTTGGAGCACCAGAAAACATTGACAGGCAGCTACAATCCGGCACGGCTACGCTTAATGCAAACTTTGAATCTGGAGAGAGGCGCGTTTCCGTGACTAGGTAATTGTCTTTAGCATGTAAGTTTCTGTTAGGTTTGAGTTTCTATCGTTCAATTGAGTTCCAACATGTTTATAATTATTTTATAAAGATTGTTTTGTAACATAAGTGTAAAATAATTTGTCGAAATAAATGAATATACTACCGATGTGACGTGACATGTTATGTGGTGTGTGGTGTAGTACGTATGCTTATATGCCCTAAAAGTACAATTAAAACCAAACTTTGTCTGCATTTCATTTTTCAGGAACGAAGATAGAATAAATTATACTATTATCAATCCGCAACCGTACTTTATACATAGAAAGTATTGACAAGGAAACGCAGATGCCCACCTCAGTATACTTTTCTGAGCAATTGGCTAATATTTTAGAAGATTATGGTGCTGCTAAGTTTTTGATTGTCATGACAGACAATGCTGCAAACGAACGAAAAGTAGCAATGCTTTTGAAATAAAAGTACAAACATATTATACCTTTAGGATGTCCTTCACATACTCTCAATCTCTTGGTTCAGGCTATTTTAAAAATCGACTCGATTGACAGCATTATAGAAAGAGTTGCGGACATAGTTGAAAATGTCAAGAAACCTCACCTCTTGACTGCAACTTTACAAAAGGAAAAAAATGCTCAGAAATCTTTATCACTTCCTATAAGAACAAGATGGGGAAGTCACCTTAAAGTACTGGATAATTTTATGACATCTGAATTCACACTGCAAAAATTAGCTGTAGATGAGTCAACATGTTTTTTCACTAAAGAGAATAGTTCAAAAATACTTTACAATAAAATTTTCTTGGTGCAACTTGTAAATGTTGCATAATTCATTCGTCTTATTGTCAAGTGGATATTTACATAAGAATTCGATAAACCAGTCATACCAAAAGTCGTACTGTAAAACCTTACAACTTTACCCAGAGACCACAACTTTGACCAGATGCAAGGTCGCAAACAATATTTTATATTAAATTCGGCAACACTGTAAAATTTGTGGCAACGGTTGCCAATGCTTCTAAGCAAGTAACTTCGATTTTCAGTACTGCTTCAACCGCTTCCATGGTAGGCTACTCTTCGGAATCAGGTAAGGAGATTTACGTAGTTTTTTGGCGGTTTTTTACATGAAAAGCTAAGGTCTGCTGTGAGTTTGTTATTCGATATTATTTAATGAAATTTGCCAGAGATATATTTGATTTTTTCTTACCAACATAATTTTGTTTCATTTGAGTTGCATTTATTAGAAAGCCAACGAAACTGCCTGTCACATCGCGAGCGCATGCACAACACGAGCAGGGGCCTCTAGACACGACTTCGCCGTGCACTGGGTATAAAAACCATATTGCAGACCCTGGAAGCTCCGCTGGAGGTGATTAGGAACTTCCAATTCCACAAAGCCACTATCCACTGTAGGTTAAGCCATGGAGACAGAGAAATAACTATAGTTGCCAGCAACAAGTTCCTAACCGAAAAAGCTATACCATAATAAGCCTGACATAACCATCAAGATGTCAAACCCTTCGGAAATAATACTACTAGAAAATATGGTAGCTCACCTGCAGAACTATAAGAAGCAGGAAAAAATAAAGGAAACTAGGTACTCAATAAAAAATCGACCACAAAAATGTCAACAACATCGGCGATTCCATTCTATCGATTTATTTATTCTTCATATTTATTCTTCAAATTTAATAGTTTTTTTGATAGTGCTTTTTTTCCAAATTTAACACGTTTAAATACTCAATTTGTTTTTCTAAATTTATTTAGCAGTTCATGTAATAGTTTTAATTTTTTAAAGATCCTTATTTATCTAAGTGGTTGTCAGTGATTTCGTGTAGGCCAAGTTTTATTAATATATATTTTCCATTTAATCGGGTACCTTTGAGTTTATTATAATTTTCTTTCAATTGGGAAAGTTCACTTGGGGTTTATTTTATATTTTTCATGTCGATCTGGGAAAAAGATACCTGTGGCAAATACCGTGAAATGCAAGGGTATGGCAACTGCCTCTTCAGGGCACTTTTTGTAGGATTGGGGGGAAATGTAACACATGAGGAGTTGCGTGAAATTTTAGTCAACGAGGTGAGGGATAAGTGGGATGAATATGCGAACGATTATCATACGGAAATTTCGCGGGTCACCACATGGGGTTCTTTTGCTAAAATTATGGTCTGTAGCAGTTTTTACTGTAGCAACTCCTGCTACAGTGGCTTCTGCTGTAGCAGTAGCTTCTGGCGCAGTAGCTCTTGCTGCTGCAGTACCTGTGAAATCTCCCGCACGGGAGCGACCTGCACCACAACCGCGTATCGTTACCCTAAGTCAAAAATTAAAAAAGTCGAATTTGAAAAATGAATTAAAAAGTGGAAGCCGCTTTCTGCTACGAATTTTGTAAAGCCAGAGTGGAGTATGAGGAACGATAGAATCACAGAGTATTATCAAAACGCGGGGGAATTCGGTGACCGCTATTTTCAAGATATTCCAGTACACCGACTTTCGAAAGAAAGACTGGATTTGCAAACATTGCGGTGCTAAATTTTGGGTCACCGAATTGTCCAGAAAGACCAAGAGCACGGAACAATGTTGTGGGTTAGGGAAACGGGTTTTGGCAGAAACCAGCTTGTTCAGGAAACCTCGTGATCCTCAAATACTTAACCTATATTATTGTAAGGATAGGGCCACGATGAGGCAAAGTCCTTTCCACAAATTTATCATGGCGTATAATAGCATCTTTGCAACTGTTCATCGGCACGGGACGTTCGCTGGTCTGGGTCTTCCAGACAGCCGTCCTGCCGACAAAGCAGCGGTCGCCGATAGGCAAGTTCGGTTCATGGCGTCAACGCATGTAGCTGGTCTACATAATTTGAATGAGGCTTATCTCTATTTCATGGATGTGAGTGAGGAGGTTGTAAAGGCTGGAACCAATTTGTCGACTGTTTCGACCAAGTTAGAGATTTCAATTGTTAGGAGGGTGGAAAATTATTGGCGAGCCGAAAATGTTCTCATGCGTATTTTTAAAAATGCTGGGGACATTTACGAGGAGGGAAAATTGAAGGCTGCGGCGGAAAATAGGGAGGTTCGTGAGGTTACCTTATGTGACAACCCTCGTGACAAAGAGGATGAGGACGGTAGTCGTTTTAAATTTCAAAGACGTAAGGGTGCGGCGGCCAAGTCTGGAATGCAGTATCCTCGCAACGAAACCGTTGCCGGAGTATATCTAGGCGATAGACCGCCATGTTACTATGATGTCGAGTTCGCCGTGAAACCATTGCAGGAAGACGCGACTCTTCTGTATAGGGAGGTCAACGTCTTGAGGTGCACTTTAGACCTCATGATATATCCACTCATCCATCTTCACGGAGAGTATTCACTTCAGCAAAATGACCGAGATCAAGCCAATTCCTTACACGAGTATAATTGTGTGAATTTGGTGTCTTTGGATAGTGTACGTTATTGGAACGTACTTGAGCGCGTAGGGAAATAACGCCTGCAGTATCTTGTGGATGCGGGCGTAAAAATCGAGTATAATAATGTGATTAGGCAATAGGCAATCAGAGGCACATGCGCGCAGAGACCTATGCCAATCTGAGAGACTCTTTGTTAAAAGAAGTAGCAAGGAGAAGTTTGGGAGATTCGGTGCAGCCTCAACCGATCGGTAAAATCATCGTATTACCGCCCACTATTCCAAGTTCTCGTAGGTATTATTTCAACGGGTACATGGATTGTGTTAAGAATTGGTTTTTTATTTAATCTCGGCAACGCCGCTTTTGAATACGAGATCGAGACATCGCCGGCCAGGCGTTAGGTAGACGGCTGTACAACGTTGCGAAAGGTACAAGCAGCAGCAACATTTTTGTTCTCTCTCTGAATACCAGTGTATTCAAGTTAATATTAAAAAATGTCGTTATAATAATAAAAAGAACAACAAAATAGTTTGGTGTTTAAATTTCCCCAAGTCAACCCAGGGAAACACTAACATAAAAATTGGTCCTTCTCCCCCGATACCAGTGCCTGAAGACAACAAAATAAATAATAATTATTGGCTGCTGTACTGAGTGCCCACGGAAGCAACATAAAGGAAAACATAAGGTCAGTCCTTTTTTCCAATAACAACACGTATATTTTTTACCCTAAACCCGTTTGCCTATAAACCTATGCAGATTTCTCTCGAATTTTGAAACTGCCTCGTTCACGGTATTTTATTCAAATCCGTCTCGTTTTTTTAAGCTGTAGCTTCTCGTTGATTTCGTCTCGTTTTTTAAATTTGGGTGTAAATACCAATCTATTTCTCGTTAATTCTTAATTCGAATTAATTTACCGCAAATATAACACGTTAACTGTTTAAATCTCACGATTTTCACGTAACTCTCACGATTTTCACGTTGCTTCACGATTTTCACGTTGCTTTCACGACAGACGCAGGCGTAAATGAGTAATAAAGACGTACATTTGCTCCCATATGCTGCATAACGTCGACGGCCGGCAGCGACGGCAGGATCCTCGATAGATCGATATAAGTATTCATAGGAATGGAACCAGAGCGCTCAGAATTCAACGATTTTATTGTTTTTTTTCAATTATTGAAAAAAAAAAAATTAAAAACAAAACCTTGGTGATCGGGTTAATCAGATCAGTGTTTCCGAAAAGGCCTAGAGTGTCAGGGTGTCCAGATTTATTTTCCTTAAAACAATTACCGTATTGTTATTGGGCACATTGTTCTGGTTTTGATTTCGATTATCGTTTGTTTCTCAAAGATTTAATTTTTTGTGTAAATATTTTTTTCGCTATTTTGCCCTGCGGCGCTGGTCCTCTAAATTTCATCCACCTGTAGAAAAGCTCACGAGCCGCGCCTGCAACGTTGGATGTACTTTTTCCATACAAAAAAGACTTTCAGAGGAATTAACTTATGAGGAAGGAAAAACCCTGATAATATGACACAAAAACATAACCCAAGAATAAAAATATCATATCATTAACACGTTAGATACCGTGAGGTTTTTCATAGATTTGCCTGCCAGGCCTCGAAAAAAAAAGTAGAAAATGTTCCCAGAAACCAATGGCGCTTTAATATTAATAAACCTGAAAATAAAGTGTTTATGACGCGATTTTTGAAAAAATAGTATATTGTGTATTTAGGTGGAAAAGTGTCACATTCTCGGCCGACGGTGTAAGTTGACGGGCGAGGCGTAGCCGAGGCCGGCAAACACCGAAGGCCGAGAATGTGCTCTTCCACCGAAATACACATACTATTTTTTCTGCGATCGGTTAAATACCTGTTAAATGTTTGTCTTTTGGTTCCAATTATTTAGCAGTACGAGAATCACTTTCCCGGCCTAGGCCGGAAAAGTGTGTCCAGTATTGTTATTCATTGATTCCTTAGCAACTATTGAATCATAATTAAAATACCAGAATATTGAGTTTTGCGACCTGTCAACCGGTCAAAAATGCTGACATTTCTTGTCAATCGCAGAAAAAATAATTTTGTGACCCAGTTATCAGATTCTTGACTCTCGATCTTAAAGACCGAGCCGGTGTATACGAATCAAGATTCTGAATCAGCATAAAAATTCTTTAAAACCTTCTTAACTACTGACTATCTCTTATAATAACCGAAATCCCAATGGTGAGGATTTAAATTGGGACACACTGTATGTAGATATAAACTTGTTAGAGTGACAAATTTTAAATGTATAGTTTTATTTTTTGTTTATAATTTGTGTTATATGACAAATTTTATTGACTGCCTGTTGCAGTTTTTGTAGTTCTAGGCATAGTTTGTGACTATTTAATTTCAATTTTAATCTCAATCTTAATTGTTATGTACCTTGGCGCAAAGAATGATTTATTTGTAATGAAATACCTAGATAAATTACTTTACTTTACTTTACTTCACTAGGACTTACTTTTCATTTCAAATTTTTATCGTGTACTAAGAATCAATAATTTCTGATATTCAAGAAGCAAAGTTTCGCCCAATCTTTTCCCCACGCGCGAGATTTTCTTTTGTGGGTTATACCCTGTGTTTATTGTGCGAAGGTAAAAAAAAGGAATGTATTTAAATGTAACTTCTTTTGTCAATAAATGCTTATTAATAATAATAATAATAATAATAATCTTATTTCTCATGATGCAATTGCAAATTTTCATTAAGTTTGGATTAGACCCCGAACTACGCATTTTTATATTGGAAACTATTTACCAACTTACCGTCATATCCTCCTTAAATCATTGAACCATAAGATCCGTTACTACCTACTTAGTTTAATTTCAAAATCTGGATATGAATCTGATAATTTTTTTTTTAGGTTTATGATGAAAAATGAATATCTAGAGCATGGCATTGAAACGGAAATAGAAGAATCAGATATTGTACTGATAGGCGCTGAAGGGATATTCTTAAAGCAAGAAGATAATATTATATACTTGCGATATACTTGCGATGCTATATTTAAAAGCAAATCAAATTTAAAGCATCATTCAATTATTTTTTATTTTGAATCGTCGATAGTTTGATAAGCAAAAAGGGTTTATTGCATGATTGCATGTGCTTTTATTTGGTGATTGTTTTCATCCACGTAATATATTTATTGATTTAGTTTTTAAATTATAACCAATTTCATTGTTTTAACCTGCAAAATATTAGGTATATTTTGTTCGTTATTTATGCTAGTTAACTCTGTTTACACCACAGATTTTGTCGTGAATAATAATATTCGTGCAAAATCCTCGAAAAATTGAAATATTCATAATCTCGGTATTAAAAACATATAGTACCGTTTTGTTTTAACCTTTTGTAATATAAAACTATTCATTATGTCTGATGAAGGTGACACAAATCCCGATTTTGATCGAAAACGTTTGGAAAATTCCAAAAATAAAATAAAAACCGAATTAACACGTTTCCAAGCATTTGTAAATAATTTCGATATTGATGACCAACAAATAGAATCATTACAAATACGGTTTGATAATATTAAATCAATTTTATCACGATTTCAAACTGTACAAACTGATTTTCAGAATTGTTATTAAGCGAGTTTCCAAAGAATTATGAAGAAGAAGAATCAAACTTAGAACGGGAAACATTAGAAAACCGATTTTTTGAATCTATGGCTTTGGCTCAAAGAACAATCGATGAATATTTCTGCCGTAAACGCGCTCAAAACCAAGTAATGATGGCCGAAGAGCGCCTGGGCGACGCCAGTGGCGCGTCCAATCACAAGCTTGATCATGTCAGGGAAGAGAAATTTGGCGCGCTGTTGCCAAACTTGGCAGCAAAGTTACCAACGCTAAAATTGCCAGAATTTACTGGAAATTATAGTCATTGGGAGCGGTTTAAAGACATGTTCAAAGCGATTGTCCACGATAACGTTTCAATTCCTGATGTTACTAAATTTCTTTATTTAGATGGTTCCTTGCATGGTGAGCCTAAAAATCTCATAGCTTCATTATCAGCTACGACCGATAATTATAAAATTGCGTGGGAATTATTAGAAAAAAGATACGACAATAAAAAAATTATAATAAACTCTCACATAAAAGAAATTATGGAAATTTCAAACATAAACAAAGAGTCCCATGTAGTACTTCGTGGTCTTTCAAATACATTTTTTAAAAGTTACCGGTCACTTGAAGCGCTAGGTGAAAATGTTAAGGAATGGAACACTATTTTAATATACATATTAGTCTCAAAATTAGATAATAATACCCGGCGAGAATGGGAATTTTTTTGTAAAAATATCCAATCTGCAAAAGTCGATGATTTTAATGAATTTTTAATTCAGCGTTGTCAAATTTTAGAACATTTAGACTCTAAATCATTAGTTAACTCTCCAAGTTCAAGTTCTAAAAAATCATTTGAAAGCAAATATTTTGTAACTACAACCCATACAGCACGTACAATTTGAATTACGTCTCTACAAGATATACACATGAGAAATAAAGGTTGTGTTCATTTGTGCAAGTTGATGATGGTTGGATTGGATTGGAAAGGAACGAGATGTCGGATCAACAATCTGTTCATGCCATCTCATAAAGGAAAAAAAATCAGCACAAAAATGTTGGTTTTTTTTTTGTAGATTGAGTAAAAACTCGAGTAAAAACTAGAATGCAGCAAATTTTACTAAATATAGAAAAATTAACTTAACTACCTCTTCTAGTTCCTCAACACTGTTTTTTTTTCTCATTTACAGGCAGCCGCAGGTTTATTGTCAGGGTTCGGAGTGCATGAGACATAAAATTTTGTTTAGTATATATAGCTATCCCCCTGATTGACACAACCAAATTTAGACATCGTCGCCGTAGGCTTAATAATCCTCCAAAAATAAATAATACGACAATCGATAACAGGGCAAATAAAGACATATTTTGTAGTAGGGATTTTTCTGCCCATTCTTCTGATCTCCAACACTTACAAACA